GCACAATAAACCACTTCTAAATATTATATACTTAAGAGACCCTGGAAAGGGTCACTGGAAGTCAGAATTAACTTCATCGCACATTATTATTATCCCAAATCTGTGATCCTCCGTTTGTACCCAAAACAGTGTGATAATGTTACATTATGTAAGACATAAAGGGGAAGGGGGTCTTATAATTTTGCCTGTAGTTCAGAAGGGCATTATGTCCATATTTTGTGAAAAAATGTTGGAAGACATTAGCATGCACAATCTTATTCCACACACACAGAATCTAACGAATGAACTAACCCTCAGAAACATACAAATAGGAATGATAATACTGTACATGTAATTCCCATTGACTCAGTTGTGTAACATTTAGGCTGCAGTCCTAAAGTGGGACGTTAAATCTCACTGAACTCAACAAAACTTATATCTGAGCGGGCACACACATGGAATTGTGTGTCATCATACCACCCTGAACACATCCAAACTATTCTGATGTTGGAAGCTAAGCAGTGTTGGGTCTACTCAGTACTTTGTTGGGAGACCATCATAGAAACAAACACCAGGTGCATCTCCAGGTACAACTATGAAAGAATCTTGACTGAAACTCCAGGAAGCAGCTGCCCATCGGAATCTACAATACAGGGTTGGAAGGTACAAGGCAGCTTCCTGTGTTTCGCTGTTAATCTCTACTTTAAAAACTATTAGCACCCAATTTATCTACAGTCTGTCTTAAATTATATCAGCACAGGCTCTCTTCTACTTAAATGCACAATTTGTGCAAATGGAGAAAACTTTTAATGTCATCTAGAATTCTCATTGGTTCTCATGATGAAATGCTGCATAAGCATTTAGTGTATTTTCCTTCTTGGATGAAACACCCATTCAGAACACCCAAAGCTAGCAGCTTATTGCTAGTCCTAACTAAGATGACACCAACTGAATCAAATGTTGATCAGTATGTCAACACATGTCAGTGCATCAATAGGTCTACTCTAGTTGGAACTAGCAATAGGATACTGACCTTGTGATTTTTTGATGTGCAAAATAGAATTACTAAACCTAATTCTGCCAAATTGTTGAATTTAATCAGACTAACAACATGAATGCATTTTTTTCTCTTCACAGAAAAAGGAAAGAACACAACTACCAAGAATGTTCACATTAAAATTTTAAAAAATCTTAAGGATGCCTGTGTTAAGGGGAGCTTATAACTGTGTACACTAACACAAAGATGACGGGATAATCCTCTGACAACACAGTCTAAAGGTTGGTGAAATGAATTTATGTTTTGCACATAAAATTACACAAATTAGTCCATAAAAATTGAATAGTCTGCTTGAACATACCTCTTCCTTTCAGATTGACATAAGATCTGAACCTATAAAATAAAAATGGCTCTCTTGAATAACTCTAAAATGGAAACAGATGATTATATCCACTGCATTATCTTAAGGCCTTTTGCATGATCCATTTTGCGTACTATCAGCTGGGCACATCCTCATCTGTTCTTATTACTGGGGGGGTGGTCACATTGGTGGAATTCCCTGCTTGAGGTGCCAAAAACTAGTTTAATTAGCCTTGTTTACTATGCACTGTTACATGAGGGGACACCATCTGCTGTTCCGTCTCAGAAGGCAATTATCTTGGGCTTGCCCTCACACTGGAACTCAAATGTTCCAATTAGGATCTTAACTGGAATTCAGATGTGTATTTAGACCTGGTGTTCTCATTGCATAAATAGTAGGAAGTAAAGACTGTCACCACACATGACAGCTAGAATTCCACTGATGGAAGAAATAATCTTGAATAATGACCCTTAACATTTCTATTTCATAAAATAGTACACTGAATATTCTCACCACAGAAAGCAGGAAAGCTAACAACTTTTCTTATGAAATAAATTTGTAGGAAAGCTGAAATCAGTTTTGGAATTCAAGAGGTCTAGTGTTAACACCTGCTTCCCATCTGCTGTTCCAGCAGTTCCTAATTTGTCAGTTCTATTCAATTAATCACTGCTCAAATCCAAAGGCTTTAGGTACGTACCAGTTTATATAATGGGATTCTCTCTCCACACACAAATGTATTTATCATGAGTTTAAGCTTTTTACCTACTCAGCTAAATTGAAAGTATGATTTAATTGTATGCCTGATTTCTGACTATTCAATCCTGAAATATTTACTTTAGAGAAAACTCATTTGATAACCACAGAAATCAGGAGATGGGGAACAGTGGATCATTAAGTACCTGCCAGTACAGTGGTGCCCTGCATAGCGAGGTTAATCCGTTCCGGATTAACCCTCGCTATGAGGAAACATCGCTAAACGGGTCGCAAAATGCGATTGGAACGCATTAAACTTAGTTTAATGCTTTCCAATGGCTTCTATACTCACCGTTAAGCGAAGTTTCCTCATAGCGCCGCCATTTTCGCGCCCTTGGTAAGCGAGGGCAGGGCGCGAAAATGGTTGTGGCGGCCCTTTTTGAGCCGCCGAACAGCTGATTTCCCGGCGTCGCAATGCGAAGATTGGTAAGCAAAACGCTTACCAATCTTCGCAATGCGAGTTTTGGCCATAGAGGCCATCGGTAAGCGATCGCATTAGCGATCTCAAAAAAGAGATTGCTATGCGATTTCGTTGTTATACGGTGTGCTCGTTAAGCGAGGCACCACTGTACGGTAAAATAGATCAGTGGTTCTTAACCTTTGTTACTCGGATGTTTTTGAACTGCAACTCACAGAAACCCCAGCCAGCACAGTTGATGGTGAAGGCTTCTGGGAGTTGCAGTCCAAAACTCCTGAGTAACCCAAGGTTAAGAACCAGTGAAATAGATAATACTAAACAATGGGATCTGACTGAGAACTCTCTGAGATAGCTGACATGGGATGGGTTCCATATAACTAAGCTATCATGAGATATTTACACCTGCCACACAACAGAGGCATGCGAATGAGCAGAAATTATATATCATATAAGAGCACCTTAAATCATATTACTTTAAGACAATATATGAGTAAATTATGACTACAAATGTTTTGAATATAATTATTTAAAATAGTGCTAAGCTGGCCGTCAGGCTCATGAGCCACTTCAGATTCATAAAAGCATCTTTACAGAAATGCATGTAAGGAATACATATACCACTCTGTACAGATCAGTAACTTCTGCTAGTGGAAGTCCTACAAAAATCCAAATATCAGTAAAAAGATTCAGTATAGTACAGTACTTCCAGTACAATACATAACTATTGTGTCATTGGTGCACTTGTCATCTGTTTTGATTACCCAGAGGATTATTTTAAAAGGGAAATCTTCCACACCACTACTATACTCTCAGGAATAGCAGTACTAAGACTCTAGAAATTCTCTGCTTTCTTCTAAAGTCTACTAGCTAACTGCATTTGAAGTGCCTATTGTGCTTGGTGTGTGCTTCTGAATTAACAAATACTCTCCTTCAAAATACCTTTGAATTTACCTGCAAACTCAAGTATCCATATTCTATAATTCCAAAATGGCATACCACAGAACCAATTCCCCAGCATTCTTCAGGTTGAAATTTTAAAATCGAGTCATCCTAAAGTGACATTCAAGAATGTAAGTCAGTTCCAATTAAGTACATATATACCTAGAAAGTTTATAGGACCGCATTAACACTCTAAAGAAAAAAAAATCAAATCAATGTACAAAGACAAAATTAACTGACAGCAAAACTACTTAATATTCAGAATGAATTTTAAATAGCATTCTAATGACAAAGTGCTCTGCAACAAACACCTTTAATATTGTCAAATGAGTTGAAGAAATGGCAGAGACAGAGAAGGGACCTTACAAAGACCCACCATCTCTGAAGAACTAAGACACAAAATATAAAAGCACTATTGATGTGTGATTTAACAGCAAAAATCCATTTTGTATTTTTAAACCATTTATTGTATGTTGTCAGGGTATGTGACCCAATATATTAAGGGCTACAGTGAAGTTAAAAATCTGCAAAAGCTTCAGGTACTGCTGATACTGTCTTGTTTAAAAAAGGGGAGGGGGCAACAAGCAGTTAAGATATATTTAATTACAAAAAAAGTAAATGTGTCTGGTATTTTCATTCACTTCTTTTTAAACAAATGGCTTATCACTAAAACCACCTAAAGAAGGTGACTTTTTAAATGTTCACATTTGCTTTGTTCCACGCATAAATTTCTAAGACAACTTGCTGATGCCCTATCTGAATGCAAAAATTATTGCAAAAGGTAACATGTTAAGGTATATTCTGTTGTTTAATTTACGCAAAATATTAAGAGATTCTTTTAATCCAATAGTCCTCATTTGATGATTATCAACAGAGGACTGGACAAAGTCCTGAAGAGAGCTTCTAGGGGCTAATTATTATTCCACAGGTAAAGAGAAAACATACAGAAGAACTTCATGTAAAACAGTTCCCTCATATATATATTTTAAACATTAAAGATAGTGCAAATTTAACACACTTGTATCACAACACAAATTAACTCCTTGTATTCATCTAATGTTCTTTTTTCCTTAAAAAACACAACTTTATACCTTGGCACACAACAGAAATGCTGATTTAGATTAAATTCCACACTCTGGAAGGGGAAGGGAAAGCAAACTGGCCAATTTTGCCCCCGTTCAGCTAGCAATCCTTTCATGTCCTCTTCTTTTAGCCATTCACTTAATACAAAACTGGCTGATCGAGACGTATTTCTGTGCTAAGTTACCTTCTTAGAATTAAATAATTCAAATAGATTATTTCAAAATAATAATAATAATAACAATAATAATAATAATATATTTTCGCCCAAAAAACTGCTCATGGCCAAAGTTAATGGAAGGTACTAATTTTTTCAAACAACTTTTCATGCAAAAATAATAATAATAATAACAATAATAATAATAATATATTTTCGCCCAAAACACTGCTCATGGCCAAAGTTAATGGAAGGTTGTAATTATTTCAAACCACTTTTCATGCAATTCCCCTGAAAGGAATCAGAAACAAAGAACAACTTTGCACGTTTGGTTTTACTAAAACTGCATCACATGAAACTTAACAATATTGTGCACAGGGGGCATAGAAACTGCCATCGCACCCCTGTTGGATTCTCTTGTCTCTCTTCAAGTGCACGTGACAATAGGAACCTAGACGAGGTTTCCTGGTTTCCTGTCTTTGCCTTTAGCAGGGACTATTGTGCTCTCGGAATTGTTCTGCTGAAACTGTAGTCTGCTCCCCCTCTGTGATGAAGGAGATGCATTACTTTGCTGGTGATGGAAAAAAGCAGAGCCTGGGTAATGCCCCATGACTTCACTGTAAGTTGGAGGTGGTCCTTCCATCCTTCCATTGCTGCTATAATTGGTTGCACTTATGCCCGAATTGCTGCTTGGTGGGCAAGGCCCCCCATTGTACATAGTAATGTCTATCAAGTCACTGTCAAATATAGTCCTGTTAGGTGGTGCCCTTACAGATTCTCTGTTGAGTTCCATCTGTTGTTCTGGGTCCCGAAGCTGCAGCATGCATGGTCCTTGGTAAGGTGGTGGCTCTTCACCATCAGAGAGGGAGATAGTAGGAGGAAGGTCAATCTCATGCTGCATGTATGGATAGGTTGGCTGGAAGCGACTGAAACGTTCCCTCTGCATAAAGGATGGAGCAGTAAACCTGTCCCTGGATCGGGGGGCGTACATAATCTGCAAGATGAAGAAGGTATCTATTAGTAAAGTTGCAACTAAACTCCTTCACACAGCAAGACAGACTCAATACACGGGTAAGAAAATTATGTATTCTCCATGTTGATGATAAGTGCAGATCATGTAATCTGGAAAAAACTTCAGGAAAACAACACATTCCCCAAAATTCCATATACAGAGGGTGGGCAACTTTGGCAGATCCAGAAATGACTAAAAATACCAAAAGAACAGAATGAACAAAAGAATAAATAAAAACTAAAGATTATCAAACATTCTATTAGTTTTGATATTTTATGCTGAGGGGGTTGGAGGATTTCTGTGATGCCTCCCATGCAAAAAACCATTGCTCCCGGAGTAACAGAAAAACAAACTTTTGTGAGGGAGGGAATGTGCACTGGGGGAATTACTGGGCCTGTGTGCGAAGGTTTGGGATCTCAATCTCTTGGAGGCCACATGGACTGTACATTATCCCTTGCCCCTGTCCCTGGTCTGTATAATCAAAATATCTAGACCAAGAGGAAGGACATGGACATTTTTAAATGCAGGTATTCTGCAAATAAATTAAACCTAATTTGCCACTGTAGAACCTAATCCCATAACACAAAAAATCAGATGAATTCCAGAAGATAGGATGCTTCTGATCCTGGAAGATGTTAACAGATCTTTCATCTGCCTCCTTAGCATCCACGGAAGGTAATACAAATGGAGGATAAATGACTACTCTATCAGGGAGTTCTGCGGCAGCAGCAGTACAAACTTCTTCCTCCTCTCCAAAAGACCCCAATTGTCTACTGAAGTTAAATTAAAACTGAGAAAAAATACCAGAAGCTTTGTTTGCCAAACAGCAATCTCACAATGTGACAAATACATTCCATTACAGAATAGAACCTTCAAAAGTTTAACAGTTACAGATACACAACATCCTTACACGCATTTATATTTTTTATATTATTAGCGTAATATGAAGTAAGGTTAACATTATCACAGCTCTTCAGAGGTATAGTATCTGTGAGGTTTCATGTTGGTTTTTCATATTTTCATGTCCACCTGATAACAGAAAAGGCCTTTAATACCCACTTCACAGTTAAAGCCACCAGAGCAGAAGGCCTTGAAAAAGTGCAGGTGACCCCTCTAGACCAGTGGTCCCAAATCATTCCCAAACTGTGGACCGGTTGGGGGCCAGGGTCTGTGAGTGGGGTGGCGGGGCACCCCCTGCACTTGTGGGTGGGCAGGACACGCATGTACGGATGGGTGGGGTGCACTCATGCGCATGCACAGATGGGTGGGGCACACTTGCGGGTGGATGGGGCGTATGCTTGCGTATTAGCGGATGGGCAGGGCGTGCTTGTGGATGGGCGGGGTGTGCTCGCGGATGGGTAGGGCACGCTCGCACACACATGCAGATGGGTGGGGTAACAGTGTATGTGAGTGGGCGGGCTGTGCAGGTGGGTGTGCATGGGGGGAGTGCATGCAGGGGGGTGGGAGATGTCTTGGTCCGGTCATGCCAAGGCCATGGACTGGCACCAGGCTGACACCAGATGTTGGGGACCCCTGCTCTACAGCACAGAAAAAGGAAAACTTGGAGCAACCTGTACAACTTATGAGAGACTGCTCAGTTCACTAGATAAACATTGATAAATCTGCTCAAACCAGGATATCAAATGTCCTGCTCAATCAGAAACCTCTACCTGGCTGAAACTTGCAATATGTGGTTTCTTTGGACAATGTATTCGGCCTCTCCACAGACACCTTTCCTCCATTTACCTAATCATATTCATTTTGCTTGCCCAGATAAATGTGACCACTATGAAGAGTGACAGGAGAATGGTTTCTTCTGCATTAAACACCTGTTTCTTAACCAAAATCCCATAACATGACAGATTAAAAGTTTTGATACAAGCTGGGAGATCAGCCTGGCTCCAAATCTATCAGACAGACTATTATATTAATCAACTCAGGTATATGTGTGTCAGGGAGGAATGATCAGATATCCAATTCCCTTGGAGTAACAAGGCATGCCATTCAACTGGTAACACAAGGGGTCTACTGTCTAAAGTTTATAAATACAGAAGCTGACCTTCAATCCCAAATACTTAATGGGATAAACACGGAAGTTCTCCCTATTCAAAAGCCAAAAAAAAAATATTTTTTTTTGAGGAAATTGTAATAGCATGTGAAAATTACCAGTGTTTGAAAAAGGAGGGTCTACTTAGGTGTGACCAACAGGACATGTTTTTTTTTAATAAGCAGTCAAACACCTACAATCTACCATCCCCATGAGCGATGTTTTGGAAGGAACTACCACAACAACAGAGAGAATTCTTTTATTATATTTCTTCCTACAGGTTGTATCCTTAAATATATATACCACAGAGTGAAGTAATTAAAAGAAAAAGACATTAATTTATATACAAAATGTTTTATTTTCTGTTTCATGGCTGCTCTTTATAGTTTTTATTCTTTACAATTTGGTGTTATGTGAAGATATTGCAATAATTTTCCCTTCTTTTTTTCAAGAGGGAAAAGGCCTAACAATTGCAAATTGACCATGAGCCAAATTAGAGCAACACTGACAGACTTCTTGCACTTCTCCAGGTCTTAGTAGGCTGGCTTCTCTCTCTCTGTTGATAAGATTTGTGTATTCTTTCTCTCTCTCTTTTGACTAGACATGCTGTTTGCACCTCTTTGACTGTCTCCAGCAGTCAGCAACTATCCCTTTTGGCAGCTACTACTGCCTGCTTCCTGCAACAAGAATGATCAGGGGGCTGGAAGCCAAACCCTATGAAGCAAGACTGAAAGAACTGGTCATGTTTAGCCTTGACAAAAGAAGACTGATGGGAGATAAGATAGCATTTTTCAAATACTTGAAAGGCTGTCATAAAGAGGAGGGGCAGGATCTGTTCTCAGCCATCCCAGAGTGTAGAACATGCAACAATGGGCTCAGCTTACAGGAAGCCAGATTTGAATATCAGGACAATCTTCCTAACTGTTAGAGCAGTACAGCAATGGAACCAATTACCTCAAGAAGCGGTCAGTTTCCAACACTAGAGGCATTCAAGAGAAATTTAGACAACCAGATGACAGATATCCTTTGATTTGTATTCCTGGACTGAACAGAGGGTTGGACTAGATGGCCTCATGGCCCCTGCCAACTTCATGATTCTAGTATTCCATGTGACTTCAACAACCTCCTCTTTTTTCTCCCTCTTCTATGTTCCCAGTGTCCTTTCAGTCACTTTCCCCTCCAACAGATCAGGTGCTTCCACTTTGTTCTCAACAGCATTTGCTAAAGGCATGGAATGCTTCGTCCACTGGAGAGGAGACTGCAAAAGACACTAGTATCTTTCCTGGCTCTGTAATGAAACAAACGTGTTCATATGCCCCCTGAGTCACAATTCAGAAATTCCTGTTGTCAGATCAAAACCACCAGTCACTCAAAACTCAAAGTGTGAATGAAAGCTTACCTCTGGAGCGACTTGACGTGAGGATGAGCTCTCAGAAGGCCACAAACACCCCTCCTGGCACATGGAAGAAAAGAAGATAGTGAAATTCAGCACAAAGATTATGACAGGCTTGCTTCATTTGCAATACTCTTATATAGAAGGATTATATCTACACTCTGCTAGCATTTTTATGGTTCACCGAAACCATCAGGATGTATTCTATATGCTTTTTTCCCCTATGGAAACTTGGCCCTGACCTAACTGCTAATTCTACATGCACTCACTTAGAAGCACATCAAAGTTAATTCCAGAGAACATACTCTCACATCTACATGACATTTCAACCTAGGCAAGTTAATCAAACTAAACTGCTTCAGATATAAATCATTCCTGCAAATTCAAATCTTTAAAAAAATTCTTCTCCCTCTTTTCTCTCTCTCTCTCTGTTCCCCTTTACACTTACTCACTTTTGAAAGTACAATAAAAATTAGAAAGATTCTGAAAGAGATAAATATAGTGGATAACACCAGTAACAAGCACATGAAAACTCTGGTTGTCATGCACAAGAGTTTTTCAAACCAGTTTCTATGGAAACTTAAATTACAGCAATGAAAATAAGCTACACATAATCAAGATTTATAGTACTATACAGTATGTGTGGACTCTTTCTGGTCCCTCTCCTTGTTTATCTCTATATCCTGTATCTACTATAAATGTTTCATTTCCACTATTAATCCATTGAGAAAATACACAGTGAAGAAGAAAACTTTTAAGATGAGCATTTAAAATTTAAAAGAATTCTATTATGAATAATAGACTTTTGACTTTCACTCTTGTTTCTTTTTAAATAAGCAATTATTATCAAAGGGTTGATCTATAAGGGTCACCTTTTCAGCCTTGCTAAAGCTAACTTATTCAAGCTACACACAATGCATGTGCTACTGTAAACCTAAATTGCCTCACGGTGCTATATAAATCAGGACATATTATTCCTCATTTAAGCCAAATTATTCTGTAAGTATCCCAGGATCATACTGGGGTGGGTGCGGTCTTCATTAAGGCACTTCTCCCTTTCCCCCATCATTTGAAATCCTCCACCACCCATCATGACTTCTATCTTTTCCATCTTCATCTCTTCAACACAGACTTGATCTCTCTTTCGGTTTGAGTCAATTTTACGATAGCGTCAGGGCTAAATTTTAGACTACTGTACATTAAAATCACAGTGTGCAGTTTAAGTTCCTAGATCTCGATCAGGACCATCATACATTGATAGGCAATATTTAAATCTGTTCTTCATGTCAATATTCACCCATAATTTAGTGGTTAAAAAGTAAAGAAACATCACTGGCAGCAACAGAGCATGTATTCTAGGCCTCAGCTGCAGAGATCGCACAAGTCTCTCCAGTAAACACAGAAAGCTGAGACTTTATGTATATCACCTTTTCACTGGCAGTCACCTACTTCCAAGTTCATGGTAAAGGTGGGACTAACCACAGCGCAGGATACCACACCATATGTGTTTTATCTGGATAAAGCATTTGTTAGGTGTGTAGCCCTTAACAACTGCAATTTCCTGGCATTTGGAGCCTGAATGAACATGGAGAGCCCTTAACACAAGAGAGGCTATGCTGCCGAACACATTTGTGACAAAATGTGACTAAAATTTCAATGTGGCACTTAGACTTTAGCAACTGTGCTGGTGACTGATTCCAAGGACTCGCCCTTCCCCAATCTTGCTTTGTAATCGGAATTCATTTCAGTTTGTGTTTTTAATCATCATCACCATCATCTCAGAATGGCAGAGTTGGAAGGGAGTCTACAAATCATTCTGTGTCAGGGAGGAACAGTGGGGAATCGCACCCCCAGCCTCTGACTCCAAAGCCAGATAATTAAAGCACTAAGCTGTTCTCTAGATTCCCTCTCCTCTCCCTGGCCATAACAATCTCCAGAACTGGCAAATAACAAGGTGAGGCAGGAGCGAAATACAAATGCAAATAAAGACTTCTATATGAAGACAAAACAAATAAACGAGTAGACGTTGTCTAGAGGGGCAGGGTAAAACTCGAATAAATAAATAAAATAAATAAATTATAAAGTACTGGATAAAATTAACTGAATACCAAAAGCACAAATAGGAAACTTTAAAAACTGATTTAAAATCTTAATGAGCCAGAATGTAGCTTGAAGGCCTTAGCCTGTTATTTCCTGACTAAAAAGCTGGCAATAGTAGGAGGTTGCACTCTCTTTCTTCACTGTCTCTTCTAATTGCTGTTCTTTTTATTTTCCCTGTGGTGTTGTCACTCTCTTTCTTCCCTTCAGTATCTCACTCTCTCTCAAAAGCACCTGTGAAGAGCTTCCCTTAGAATCTCCTACAGTCAACAATATTTGTGTGCTAGCCATTCAGAAGGGTTCTAAACGTTAAGGGGTTATGGAAAAGTACTACTCACTTTATTATGTTATCACTTTACATAACTACATTTTACTTTAGTACAGCTGTAGGCCTCATCTGTACCTTGCAATATGCTGGATTCTAATACACATTGCAAATTATATACAAATGTATGTAAGCAAATTCTTACAATTGTGGCAATATGTACAATACATATACGTTTGAGATAAAATGAGAACGACCCTAAAACATGTGTGCGCGTGTGTCTGTCTGTGTGTGTGTGTAGTACTAGTATTTTCTACTTCACTCCGAATTAAATAGGTTTTAGTGTGATTTTTAATGCTGTCTCTAGGTGGCAGCAAGAGATCAACTATGTTGAACAGTGGCCCTGCACACCAGTTTTGTGCTTCCTCCTTAGTTATAATCTCTCAGTTTCCTGGTTGGGGTATTCAGGATCTGTGGTCCATCAAAACAGTTTTCCAAGCTCTAGCTTTTACACAAGTAATATTCCTGCATTATGTTTTACTGAGCAAACAAAGAACAAATATTTGGCTTTGTTGTTACATGCTATGCAATCAAGTCACTTCAGCCCTATGGCAACCATAATAGGGTTCTCATGGTACATGAAATGTTCAAGGAGCAAGGTTGAACCCAGTTCTAGTCAGACACAAGAAATATGTATTTTAAAAAATATGCACGTACTGCCCAATATTACAAGGCCAAATAAGCCTCTAGAGTGAAGACTGTAAAATATCAGTTTCAAAACTGCTTTGTTCTTATTATAGCATAGCTTAAATCCAGACAGAATTCCCCAAAAGCAGTAATGAAAAACAGATTTAAGCTTGTGTGAATGAAAGTTTTGCTTGCATATGCAAATTTACTTTTTAAAGTATAACAAATCAACCTTGGAAATAAGTTCATAAAATGCATGTTAGCCCACCAGATCTTTTAATTGCCTTCATTGTCACAAATACATATGGATACCATGAAAGGAAAATCAGGCTCTCTCTTCAAGTACTGTATACAAAAGCTTCCCTGCCCAGTGGAAATTCAAACTCTGCACAAGCAACCAAGCTTGTGGCAATCTGCAAGCCTCAAATTCTCTTTGGTTTAAAAGGTCTGCTGTGCTATTCTGAGCTTCAGAGGATCTCCTTGCCTAGTGCCAGAGAACTTTCTAAAATGGCCATCTACATGGAGAGTAGAACTGCTGTCAGAATGTGATACTAAGAAGGCTCTTATCCACGAACAGAATCGCTTGGATCCTGGCCACTTGTTTTTTAAATTTTCTTCAAAGTGTTGTTGCACTTTGGTAAAGTTTGCTTGACATAATATGAAAACCTCAGTAGAAATATTTTTCTAAGAAAAGCTGTTAAAAAAAGAGGATTGTATAAAATATGCATTTTGTCAAGTTGGAAACAGCAAAATGGCTGCCAAGTCATTCACTGAAATAATATATATTATTGAGAAGAGGCTTAAAGAAAGAGAATATGGAACAGAATGCACACTACTTGTTCTTTTAGGTTTGTCAAGTAACCCCATTATATATTACTACTATAAAAAAATAAATAGGCAGCAGGAAAAGAAATTTTACCCAACATGAAATTTGTCATCAAATATTGGGGGGGGGGGGGGAATTTGCAATACTGACTTCCTGTTTGCATTTGTTAGGTGATCAATTCGGCTAATTGTTTAGAAAACACACACAAATAAAACAAAACAAACAAAACAAAAAACAGTACTTATGTCACTCTTTTCCCTCATGGAAATACAGCATTCTTCTCCAAGCTGCTAGTGTACAAAAGGGAATTCAGTGGCTTTTAAGCATGGTGCAAACTGGGTCTTAGCGGGCTGAATAGCTCAGTGAGTTAGGAGTTTGATTCTCCACTATGCCTCCTGGGAGAAGAGCCAGCCTGCGTAGTCTTGAACAAGTAGCACAGTCCCAGAGTGGCCCCAGAAAAAGGGAAAGGTAAACCACATCTGAGTACTCTTCGCCTAGGAAACGCCAGAAAGGGTTGCCCAGAGTCAGAATCAGCTTGCTGGGACACAGTTGTTGCTGCTGTAGTGGCAGCAGCTGCTGCTGTTATTATACTGGGTCTTAATTCTCTTTCTCTCAATTCAGCAAACAGTGCATTCCCTCACTTTAGACTTCCCAACCGATAAAAAGTGTATTTTGGTATGAGAAACATGATGATTTGTTACCTGTAACTGACAGTTTGAAGCAATTTCTTTTGCAAAATGCAAGTTTAGCGGAAGACAACGTAAAGCTGTTCAGATAACAGAGATGCTTTGTCCTAACACCATCACCTAGCTCCTCTTATTCTAAGTCTCACTGCACTTTTGTAAGTAAAGTCATGGTTTAGCACTGTTGAGGGAGGGAAAATAAAACAATTATTTAACTACCTCGGAAATCAATGTAAATTGGTAGAAACTGAAAGCAGGATCCTAAATGTTACTTAACAAAATAGAAAGCAAATCTAAAAGAAAAGGTCCTAACATTTTTCACATACAAATTTTCTTTTCATCATACTGTCATACTCAGAATTACTGTTAGGAGGGCCCAGCAAGCCAGACTATCTGTTATGCACCTTACTGCAACAATCTGCAAAGAGTAGGCCTAGAGCAGTAGTTCCCAACCTTGGGTAACCCGGGTTTTCTTGGACTTCAACTCCCAGAAACTCCAGCCAGCACAGTGGTGAAGGACTTTGGGAGTTGCAGCCCAGGAACAACACCAGGGTTATCCAAAGTTGGAAGCTACTGGCCTAGAGGCATTTCCATAAGTCACAGGCATACTTAGGGAACTTCTCCCTCTAGAGCTTATTCAAGTGTAGAAATACGACAAACTGTACTACTTCCCTGGTCCATACCAATACAGACAACTGTAAGTGGAAGACAATACATCCAAATCCTTTCCCACATATCTAGTGAGCTAGGCAAAAACCTTTCTGCCCATTAGGTTAGGTTTCCACATCCAAAGTAAGGGCATTATCTGGATTCTACAGCAAAGTAATAGATATCAAGACAAATTTTACTTTGTGATGTATTAATAGATTTATTACTTCTTTGTGTACCTTCATCCCTTTCCATGTCTACTATATATTGATGCTGTTCAACACGAGGAAAGGTGTTGTGATCATAGCAATGTTCTACTTGGAAACTGAGCATGACCTGCACCTATCTTAATGTTGCACATTCATGATTACCTGCCCTGCCAGACAACTGGGTACAGAGCATGAATGCCTACAATAGAAACACTTTGCATATCCAATCATCACTGGACATCTTCCTCCCTCAAGACATTAATGTTGCACCCCTGAGTGGGGCATAAAGATCAGCTTAATAAGCAGAGACAGCTCTTCTGTTTACTCATGCAATGATTCAACATAGAAGCATTAGAGGAGGGATTCTGGATAAACCAAAACAACTGACAACAGGGCGTACTGTAGATTCACATCCTGACCACCCTCTATTCCTACTTCCTCTAGTCTCTGAAACTCTTCTCAGCAGCTGCCAAGGGGGAAAATGTGTGCTTTTGCGTTTCATGTTCCCACCAAGGTAGCTGCTTCGCAACCAATAGCAACAGCATTGGTTTTTACATCTCTTCCTAGTACAAGAAACACCATATCTGAAAATAAGCTCTCTGAGTAATTTTTGTCTCATGGACAAATGCGAAACTATATACATATGAAATGTATTACACAAAATTTCAGTGTTAGAAAGCGCATCCATTCTATGCAGAAAGTCCTAGGTTAAATTTCCAGTATCCCCATTGAAAAAGATTTCAGATGGAACTTTGAAAACCACTACCAATTAAAGGCAACAATACTAAACCAGACTCCATGTAGGGCAGCTACTTCATATTGCAGTAAGAATTCAAAATGTTAAGCAGGATATATTCCCCATTATAATCAATGGATCATCTTCACACAAGAAGAAATGCATTGGTAGAATCAGAATTGTTAAAGCACCACAAGTACAGCTTGTTGAGATAAATGTATATAACATTACGTAAAAATTACATTACACACAACAGAGAGCTAACAAACTGGCATGGGAGGATGCAAATTCTGTCACCTAATTCATATACCAACATAGAATTACATCAGAAAAAGTTTTCCTGAAAGAACAAATTAATTGCATTATACTGTATTGGAAACAAAAAGTAGCATTCTTCTTTGTAATAATTTTTATATCTGAATCTCCCTAACTTGTATATTTTGACTATGAAGCTTTCTTTACCAAGATGTATGCAACTCATTAGCCTTCAGGCATTATTAGTCAACAAAATATACTATCAGGATAAGTACATATATAATTACTTTTCTCACAAATCAAACATCTGGTCACCCATTAGAAGACCTTCAAAATTATTTACAGGAAATATTTTAAAGAGAGCTTTATGTCTTTAAATTGTTTTACTCTTTAGTAACAAATGCCTTACACTGGAGTTTTATTGACTGAGCCAATATAAAATACTAACCATTTCAGGTGTAAGAAACATGGTTGCTATCCAAGTCCTGGGATACCCAGTGTTCTATAGAGGAGTGGTCCCCAACCTTTTCCGAACTGCAGACCAGTTGGGGGGCGGGGGTCCATGCGTGGAGGGTGGGGCAGCCCCACTCACGGGTTGGTGGGGCATATGCGGGTGGGCAAAGCACGCTCATGAGTGAGCGGGGTGTGCTCACATGCATGTGCAGTTGGGTGGGGCACCTGTGCATGCGGGTGGGCGGGCCATGTGAGCATGTGCTGGGGAGTGCGTGTGGGGGGTGGGAGATCTGTCTCCATGGTAGCATGTGTTGGGGAGTGTGTGGGGGGGTGGGAGATCTGTCTCCATGGTCCGGTCCTATGAAGGCCATGGACAAGCAGCGGGCCGCAGACTGGAGGCTGGGGACCCCTGCTATAGAAAATACAGTGATGGAGCAGGAGGCCTGGGTTCAAATCTCTGCTCATTCATGGAAACTTACTGGGGAAGTGCAACTGGTAAAACTATCTCATTTCCCCTGAAAACCCTATTACAGTCACTAAAAGACAGTTCTGACTTGATGGCAAATAACACACATCCAAGTCCTAAGCTGAGAGACTGATTATATCTAATTACTGAATACTTGCTTTCTCACACAATCACCAACATTGGCCCAGTTTCAATTTCTTTTACGGTATTTATACCAGAGAGACAAGGAAATACCAAAATGGGAGCATGGATCACATTACTTAATTAGAACTCCAGCATCTATCACTGAGAGCAGCTGTGCACTTCGTGTGGCAGTCTTTTTCCACAAGTGCACTGTTGATTCCTGGAAACATACTGAGTGTGTGCTATAGACCTGTGTACTATAATATCCAAAAATATGTGCATAGGATCTTTTTTTTTTTAGGGTACACTGAGCTAGGCACTTCTCTAGCCCTTCACTGGTTTTCTTGATAATAATAATAAAATAATGGCTGAAATCCTGTTGCACAAACAGTGTAACTTTTACAAGCAAACTGCTATAAGTTAAGAAACCTCTGTAGATCTGGACTGTTGCACTCCGAGTCTCATGGCTTACTATGTCACAGATAATGTCTGTGAATATTTCTTAACTTAAAGCAATTCACTTCCAAAAGTTACTCCATTTGTGTAACTGCACAACAGAATTTCAGCCAATATTTATTATAATTTAATATTCTTTTTCTATATAGTAGTCAAGAGGAAAAAAAACAACAGAACTTCTTGTTTCATTAGCTCAGAATCTACACCACTGTCTCTCTACAGACCACAATGCACCAACCAACAATTTTTTTCATTTCACTTTATTGAGAATGTGACCCATTTATCATAAGCAAAAACTGCTAGTTTGACAGCCACAGTGACATTTATAAAGACACCCAAAACATGTCAATGTGTAACATGGCCCCCATTCAGCAGAAATAAGCAGACTGACAATCCATCACAGAAGGAGTTCAGTAATCTTCATCTAATTTCAAACTTTTAAAATAGTCAATGCGGTGAAATGGCTAAAATGTTGGAATGGGAAAACTTAGATTCAAATCCCAATTAGCCACGAGATTCACTTGCTGATGGTAGCTTTATCGTTAAACTAGCCCACAAGCAGAGATTATGTGGCAACAGAAGAAAAAAAAACAGTGAATATCTCCGTGGACAATAAGTGGGCTACAAATGCCTAAAAGTGTAGCATCAAACAAGGCCTTTCAATACCTGTGCAGAAGGCAGATAAATTTTTAAAGAGCAAAAGTATGTAATGCTCTGGCATGAATGCTCCATTTCTGGAGAAAAACAGGAAAAGTGACATGCCACTGAAGAAAAAGTAACATGTTTTGCTGCCCCCATTTTAATGTGTAAATCAGCACAGAACTGATTAAAGGTAGCCTTCGAAGGTTCAATAGGCTACTGTTCCTTTTCTCTTGTTTTTCATGAACAACAATTTACCTGTGAACAACTAGGTGGATTGCTATTCATTAAGTCAAAGTTTAAACTCACCGGTTGTAAGGATTCCTCTTGTCTCCTACTCTGGCTCTGCCGAGTGATGAAGGATCGCGTAGATACTTTGTAATGGTTCAGCAGGCAGATGATCACTACTATCATAACAGTTATCACCACAATTATGATGATAATCTGCACGAACTCTAGTTCCGCTGGGGAGGAGGGGAAGGAAAACAGAAAAAAGGAAAGGACCAGCATGTTAAAAAATATACACAAAAAAAGTGAAGCAGCAAATCACTATCACAAAATGGTGATCTATTAATGCATATAAATAGCTCTATCTCTATCAAAAACTTTTCTACCATGGCAAAAATTTTACCAGAATCCACTGAACAGAAATAAAATAATTGGAAGCAATTTTAAGGCTTTGCCATTAGTTTTTTTTTCACTATAGAATCAGCAACTAAAGAAGAATTTTGCTAGCACTCAACTTTTGAGATAGGAGATTCTAATCTATCATGTCTTCCTCTATTATTTGAGGATACATAGCCTCCCTACCCAAATGCTCAAAAAGGGTCTCCACTACTCTTGCAAGTTCTGATCAATGGCAAAGCACATAACAAAATTCAGAATGCTGGTTTGACTTGTTTTCAGAGATCACTTCACCAAGATTGGACCACAACATTAACTAAGCAAACAAATTCAATTAAACCTGCAACACAAACCTGAGATGTCTTAGGGCTATGTTGAATCACCTATACGGGGGTCCCCAAAATGTTACAAGTCAGTGAACATATTTAGAATGTTGAGAATATACCACGGACACTCATTTAAAAAGATACCTTTGGGTAGAGTGGGCAGCATATAATTTAAATAAATAATAAATAAAGATACTGCCATGGGATCTCCCTTGATAAGTCACAAAATGGTTGTCATAGCAGGCACAGCTAGTCATAAAACATCAATTTTCCAAAGGCTAACTGATGAAGCTGGGACCAAAATAATGTGCCAAAGAACCTACATTTAGCTCAAGGATGACCTGCAGAATGCAAAACCACTCATCTGGACCAATCATTTTCTGCCCTAATGCTCATTTCACAGAACTCAAACTAATGAGACTCAAAACACAACTTGGTTAACACATTCAGGGCAGGGCAGAACTTGGGCCTAATTTCAATAAAATGAAAAAAAGGAACTTATTTTGCAAGAACTAAACTGGGGATGCTCAAATTAAAGCAGCAACAGCCAGACATAGCCTGAAACAGGTGATGACCACCAACACTGGAGGCATTCAAGAGAAAACTGGACAACCATCTGCCAGATCTGCTTTGTTTTGGATTCCTGCACTGGCCAGGTGTGGTAGGACTCGATGGCCTTACAGGCCCCTTGCAACTCAATTATTCTACGGTTCTATGTTGTAAGCCCCCCAATAAGGCAAAAACACCTCTATCCTCCACCACTCTTTATATATTTCTTTACAACAGGTCATGCCTGAAAATAAAGCACTGATTACCATCATCTCTGATGAGTCCAGCAGCGCCCTTGGAAACAGAAATTGTGCTGGAAGCCAATACACTGCTTTGCAGCATTCCATCCTCCCAGTTGCTGTCTATTTTTTTTTAATTAAAACATTCCAAGCATCAGGAGGGGCCTGGCAGGTATAGTATCTAGGAAAACATCTGTGCTCACAAAGGTGCCCATGAATATCCTATTTGGGATCCCAAATCTAGAGAGATTGCATTATTACTCCTCATCAATAAATGGTCTTGGAAGCATACTGTGGAAAGTGACCCAACATTAATAGTTTACATAGAAACACCCTTCAGGACAAAAGTAGCGTTTACATAACAATTCCAAGATTCAACTGGGACCAGGTCAATATCTCATCCTGTAAGGAGATACAAAGATGCCTGGGCAAAAGTAATAATGTGTACCTTGTGTGTCTGGAATCTTTGGTTTGCTGAATGGGCTATAAAAGAATAAACATATTTGTTATAAAAATATGGCTACTACTATACTGTCACTGGCTAGATAAATCAGTGAATTAGGTATTTGGCTACAGAGCCAGAGGTCAGGAGTTCAATTCCTTAGTGTACAATCCAGGAAAAGAGCCAGCCAGAGTAGCCCTGGGCAAGCTGCACAGTCCAAGAGCACCCCCAGAAGGAGGGAATGGCATTCTATACCTAGAAAATGCTGAAAAGGGTCACCATAAGTCAGACTTGATGACATATTTTAAAAAAAAAAAACATACTGTCATGCTCGCTCTACTGTAAACTGGAGTTTTTCCAGAAGCCAAGGGGACATTTACTACACAAAGGCATTCATTGATAGTAGTAATGCAGAAATAATTCCAGTATGGTTGGAAGAACCATTCCACAGACAATATACTGATTAATCTCCTAAATATGAGCAAATAAAATAAAATTCAGACTGTAGGAGAATCCAGAATTACTAGGATAAGGAGTGTAAGGAAATGACTTCAGCACTCTGGTGCTGAATTGAAATTTGCTTGTAATTTCAGGGCACTCTTAGAATACTGTACTGAAATTATTATTGAGTTATCAGTACCTGATTTCACTACTACCACCAGAGTGGAGGTATATAAACTGGAAAATGTGGCAGGAAGGTCAATAATCAGAAGGCCTTCTCTGAAGAAAAAAGAAACCCTAAATGTGTAAAACTCTCATTAAAGACAAGAAAGAAAAAAGGAGCAAAGATTGCTTTTCCTTGGATCACCGTGGTTTATTTCTGGTGTTTTTTTTGGTGGGGGTTGCACTGGAACCATGGTGATGAGAGATTAACCTAGAAAGTCACTGTAGTTTTACAAAGTCGCAGTGCCCATAAAAAGTCTTAAAGATTAAAGAAAATGCCCTAGGGTATTACAAATGTTTTCCTTTTGGAAGACATGATAATTGCTTTACACGCCTCAAATTCAATTAAAGCATCAATTAAAATGTTGGCACTTTGGGACAAACTTGTCACATCATTAATCTTGAATATGCACACCTTTAGCCATTAAAATTAACAAAAAAAAAACCCACATCAATGACAGAATAATGGGTTTGTCTGTACATGCAAGAACTATTCACAATTCAACCCCAAGTGGGTTTTATAAAATTGGATTGTTGTACCTTACTTCATTCAATACATTTTGGTGCTGCTTATGCTTTTTGTTTTTGTTTTAATTGATCCTTTTAGTTTGGTATACTTATTGTTACTAACTTAAATACTGTCTTTTGATTGTTGTAAGCTGCCTTGGGTTCTTTTTAAGGAGAAGGCAGGCTAAAATATTTTAAATAAATTTAAAAAATAAGATTTCAATCTGCCAAGCATGTCTTTGGCTATCCTTATTTCTCATCTTGGCTTAGGGATGACAAAAGGAAGGATGTATTTGACTACGTGTACTACCTTATATTTAATGAACCATTATCTCTTCCTCCCCCCACCCAAAAGGTATACTCCACAAAAGTAGCATCACAAAAATTTGGGGGAAACATAGCATTAGGACTACAAAGAATTCATCTATTTCTAAAAAATACATGCCTAGAAAGATGGATAAGTGTACATTATGAATCAGTTACCAGCTGGCTGAGCCAGAAGTTTAAAAATCAGTATAAATATATAGATTCCATCTCTTCTATCCTACTATGTTTTTTATTGTTCTGATTTTAAAACTTATATAGGTTCAAATTTCTAATTTATTTTGAGAGAGATAGGACTAACAATTAGCATTTTAAAATAACCAGAATTCCTCTCTTTTCCATGTTTTCAGAAAGTGTGAGTTAGACCCAGAAAATAGCAATACTGTACAGTACATGGAGTAAAGGCATGTGTTCCAAGAATTGTCTGCATGTCTGCAGCCTAAAAGAATGTTTAAAAGGCTTTTTTGTTCAGCAGTTGAATATACGAAAACAAGTTCTCTTTTCTGCTTTTCTCTTTCATAACATTGCCATCAACAACTAACTACAATCAGTGTAATACAACTAGTTACAGATTCCCAATTCTCAAAACACTAATTCCACATGCAATATCCAACAGATTAGGAGTATTTTTTCGAGGTCCATGTATTTCTTTAGTGACACCATGATACAAATGAATTCTTTTGATATAATTTTGTACCTAATGGGAGTTTACCCTCAAAGAGCACAGTTTTAAAAATCAACAGCATAACATTTTTGAACAACATGATTCTGGCAATGCCAATTATTTCAGAAATTAGTAAGGGAAACTATTGTTGGTCCAATGTTATTTTTCTATTGTATCTATGGAGCAACAGTTGCAAAACAAAAATGTACAAAATAAGTAATATTTAGACTTTTTTAGAACGCAGCTAGAACGATGCTGCTTCTGCACCTACCAAAAATATAATCTTCTAACACTAACAGCTATATTCTTCATTGTCTGCAGTGAGTTACTCTGCCAACCTAAAAAGCTTCACTGCTTTATTCTGAAAATATGCAGTTCAAACCTGATCACGGGGGGGGGGGGGGGATAATCTATGCCATTTATTTAATAAACTTTTTAAAATTGTCTTCATATGGATAGGAGCCTAAAAAGTATTTTTCTAGATGAAAGTAGTATAAGATGTGTTTGTACATGTGTACAAAACTGCAAAACAAACCCACAATGAGGCACTCTTGATCAACAGGATATGAGTTCATTTCCAATGCCACATACTCAGTTTTACAATTTCAAGTGCAGTGCAGTGTCCAAATCCTGAGCTTTCTCCCTACACACCCATTTTCACCTCATACTACTTGTCACTGGGCTTTATAACAAGTGAGAAATCACCTTCATTCCTAAACCTAACAGTAGAGATTACTTCCAAAAAACTGGAAGAAAATATTTTTATATAAAGATTTCATCAAGATTTACACATATTCACATATACAACACACACTGTTATAATATTTTCTCCCACTTAAATGTTTTCTGCCCTTAATGAAATCAAGATATTTCAAAAATCTGCTATCTACTGCAAGTGGTGCAACAGCTAAGTCAACGGTACTACAAATGGCACATTATAATAGAGTGTTTTAAACATATATCCAGAGGTCTCTGTGGATACAAAAAAAGGTAAGTACTGTATCGGGACAATATGAAAAGCAATAAGGACTCAACTCAATACACAAATCACACACACACACACACAATTTTAACAGCTCGTAATAAAATACCAATCAAAAGGATCCTCCAACATCACAACGCTGTA